TCTGAAACTTCTCATGTTTTTCCTGAGTGTCTGAGAAACCAGTATCTGTTGTACTGGGCCAGGAGCACTGATGAACTTTGCTAATGATCGGGAAAGGCGGGCCCTAGAGCTGAGTTAATTTTAGCTGCAATTTTTCAATACACACAAGTGGAAGGAGCCAAAAGTCTGTTCTGAAACCTTCAGCAGAGCTAGTGATGCCAGGGTGGATGTGCATTCATGCCCCCGCCCCCAACAGGGTTACCTTACTTCTCCACTCAGATGGGGGATCCTGGGGTGGGGGGGGTTGTGATCAGGTTCCCCCAGGGTAAGGTGATGACCACGAGCCAAGGGTGGGTCCTCTTTGGACCAGGGCTCCCAAAAGATTAGGTCCCCCAGGTTGCTATAACCAAGTTCCGAGGCCAGGCTTGTAGACCACGGCCCACATCCCTCTTCCCGCAACACCATCTGCCAGGAAACACGTGGGATCCCCCCACCCTCATCCTCTCCTCCACTATCCTCCGCGAGCATCAGTGCAGGCAGACACCACTCCTGGTGAGTCATGTGTTAGTACGATTCTAGTAGGATATTCTATGGGGCAGTGGACCTGAGTCGAGGAGAGGGGGAGGCAGTGGCTATACGGATATACTTTTCTGGGTCAACCCGGCCTGCCCCCTGCCTCTGTTCCAATTCCTATCTTCTCCTTTCTCCATGGGATATCTGGCAAGTGTGACTTGACATCTAGCTCTATTTCCAGAGCCAAGTTTTCCCCTTGCAGCCAGTGCAAAGAGCCCTGGGACAGAACAGAGTCTCTACACTGGCCAGAAAGATAAGGCTTGATACAGGTAGGGCCCAGGCAAGGAAATTCCACCTAAAGGACATCCCAGAGAGGTGATGCTGAGACAGGAAGGCAGAAGACAGGCTTGGGCGGCAGAGGGCTCTGGGATGGAGAATCACATTCAAGGCTGCGAATGAGAGGGGACACACACANCGGGGCTGCCTGGCCGCCCCCCGCCCCTACCGCAGCCGCCCCCCTCCCTCTGGACCAGCCCCCGCTGCATCCCGCGAAGCGAGTGGAGACGGCGCCGCCCCACAACCAGGACCCGCACCCCGAAATCGGGGAGCCTGCACCCCAAGACTGGATCCAGAGATCTGGATACCGCAGCCGCCCCCCTCCCTCTGGACCAGCCCCCGCTGCATCCCGGGAAGCGAGTGGAGACGGCGCCGCCCCACAACCAGGACCCGCACCCCGAAATCGGGGAGCCTGCACCCCAAGACTGGATCCAGAGATCTGGAAACCTGAGCCTTGGAGCCTGATTTGGGGCTGGGACCCCGAGACCTGGAGCCTGAACAGCAGTATTTGGGGCTGAAATCGCAACATCAGTCCCTGGGACCCCAAGATTTGGAGCTGGAACCCCCAAGAATTGGAATATGTACCCCAGGATTTGGAGCCTGAACCTCAAGATTTGGAATCTGAATCCCCAAATTTGGAGCTGAGCTCTGAGTTCTATGCCTGGGACCTTCAAATCTGGGACTGGATTCTCATTTCTACACCCAGGAGCCCACTATTTGAGACTCGAACCCTGAAATTTAGGCCTCAGAGTCCAAGATCTGAACCCTGGCATTGCAAAGGGCCTAAACCTGAGTTTGGGCCTGAAATCCTTGCTGCGAAGCCTAATGCTGAAATTTGGGGCGAATCTTGACTCAGCGCCCCAATATCTAAACCCAGAACCCTAGCATCAAATCCCAAGATTGTGCTTGGGACTCAGATCTTAAACTCTCCATCTGTCTGTTTAGCATCCCAAGACTGGAGCTGGGAGATGGTGACTCCGGGCAACCTAGATTGGGGCCTGGGTCTCTAAAATTGGGCCCTTAAGAGGCCCAGTATTTGGAGATCTAAGACCCTAAGTATATCAAGGTCTAGAGACTCTTTGGCCACAAATCTGAGCGGAGACACAACAGACTTGGGAGCAGGGAAGGCATGACCAGGCACCCCCTCCAGAGCCCTGACCCCTGACCCCTCGGAGCTTGAGGATTCTTGCTCCCTGGGGCGGCTTCCAGCTCAGGTAAGGCTACTGGGAGACCCTGTGGTGGGGAGGGACTTGAGAGGAACTTCATTGCTGGGGGTGGAGGTAAGGAGGACCATGTACCCCTGGGCACCCTTGGAATTTCCCCAGGGAACAGATGTCCCTTCACAAGAGTCTGCCTCGAACACTGTGGACATTTGGCCAGCCCTGCCCCTCTCTGACCTCCTCATCCCCAGCTGATGGCATCTCCAGGTCTGTGACTGCCCCCATCCCCCCACCCCGCTCGGGCTCTCCAGCTTCTTCCTACCATCTGTCTTATTTGATCATCTCCAGCTGCCTCTCATGTCCACCACTCCTCTCTCCAGTGTCCTTTCTCCATCTCTTCCTCTCACTGACCATCTCTACTCACCTCTTCTCTCTCTCATCATCTTTGACACTTATGTCCACTGGCTCTTCTCCCGGGCTATCTCTGGCCCCCACTTCTCTCAGTGACCATCTCTGCCTGCCACTGCTGTGTTTGATCATTGTCTTTAGCACCCCTGTCCACAGCATCTCTCTCCGGCCACCTCTGTCTACTGTTTCACTCAGTGACCACCCTTGACATCTCTGTCTGTAGTACCTCTCTCTAATCATCTTTCAGCAGCTCTCTTACCCATGTCTACCCTGGACTCTAAGCCTTGACCCGTGACTGTCTCTGACCATCTTTCACCATCTCTCTCTACCATTCTTCTGTCTCTCCTCTCTGAGTTTCTCTATCCACCTTTTCCTCTGTCTAACCATCTTTCACTGTCTCTCTTGCCCTCTACCCACTCCTGACTCCAACTGCCAGTCTCCGACCATCCGCCCTCACTGACCACCTCTCTTCTCTCAGTCTCTCTTGCTCATTGGTGCTCTCTGATCATTTCTAACATCTCTGACTGCCTTTCCTCTCTCTGGTGCCCTCTCCCCACACCCATCAATCTCAGCAGCTGTCCCGTCTCCAGCTGTCTCTGACATGTTCTGTTCCCTCCTCCTCTCTCTGACAGCCCTCCTCTCTCTGACAGCCTCTCTGCCTTTTGACCATTTCAGACCATCTTTGACCATCTCTCCTGGATCTGGCCATCCCTGCCACTTCCCCTCTCTTTGGCCACTCCTCATCTTTGTGACTATCTCTAACAACCTCTCTCGTCTGGTCCTGTCTGGCTACTTCTAATCATTCCCACCACCCTGACCACCTCTTCTCTCTTTGGCCATCTCTGAGTGTCTCTCTTTGACCACATCTAAAGCTCTCTGGCTTACCTTCTCCCCACCCTGATCACTGCTCCTGTTCTCTGCCTGTCTCATTTCTAATCACCTCCCTTCCCTCTGACTTTCTTTGTTCATTTCTTTTCCCTCTCTTCCCTCGTGACACATCTCTCTGAGTCTTTAACCATCCTCTCTGGCTTCTGGTCTTTCTGACCACTCCTCTCTGGCCATCGTTGATCAAGTTCTCTGCTCTCAGCCCACTGTGACCCTCTCTTCTGGTCTCAGACCACCCCGACCCCCTCCAGCACCCCTCTTCTGGCCCCAGCCCGCCCTAACACCCCCTCCTTTTCCCAGCAGGCCGCCCCTGCCCGCGATGGCCGTCCTCCCGCTGCTCCTCTGCCTGCTACCGCTGGCCCCCGCCTCATCTCCACCCCAGCCAGCCTCACCCAGCCCGTGTCCCCGGCGCTGCCGCTGCCAGACACAATCCCTGCCCCTAAGCGTGCTGTGCCCGGGGGCAGGCCTCCTGTTCGTGCCACCCTCACTGGACCGTCGGGCGGCGGAGTTGCGCCTGGCCGACAACTTCATCGCGACCGTGCGGCGCCGGGACCTGGCCAACATGACGGGCCTGCTACACCTGAGCTTGTCCCGCAACACCATCCGCCACGTGGCCGCCGGCGCCTTTGCAGACCTGCGCGCCCTGCGCGCGCTGCACCTGGACGGCAACCGGCTGACCTCGCTGGGCGAGGGGCAGCTGCGCGGCCTGGTCAACCTGCGCCACCTCATTCTGAGCAACAACCAGCTGGCGGCCCTGGCGGCCGGGGCCCTGGACGACTGCGCCGAGACGCTGGAGGACCTCGACCTCTCCTACAACAACCTGGAGCAGCTGCCCTGGGAGGCGCTGGGCCGCCTGGGCAACGTCAACACGCTGGGCCTCGATCACAACCTGCTGGCTTCCGTACCCGCCGGCGCCTTTTCCCGCCTGCACAAGCTGGCACGGCTGGACATGACCTCCAACCGCCTGACCACCATCCCGCCGGACCCGCTCTTCTCCCGCCTGCCGCTGCTAGCCCGGCCCCGCGGCTCGCCCGCTTCCGCCTTGGTGCTGGCCTTTGGCGGCAACCCCCTGCACTGCAACTGCGAGCTGGTGTGGCTGCGGCGGCTGGCGCGGGAGGACGACCTGGAGGCCTGCGCCTCCCCGCCGGCCCTGGGTGGCCGCTACTTCTGGGCAGTGGGCGAGGAGGAGTTTGTGTGCGAGCCCCCGGTGGTGACCCACCGCTCGCCGCCCCTGGCCGTGCCTGCCGGTCGGCCGGCCGCCCTGCGCTGCCGGGCGGTGGGGGACCCCGAGCCCCGCGTGCGGTGGGTGTCACCTCAGGGCCGGCTGCTGGGCAACTCCAGCCGAGCGCGCGCCTTCCCCAACGGGACGCTGGAGCTGCTGGTCACCGAGCCGGGAGATGGCGGCATCTTCACGTGCATCGCGGCCAATGCAGCTGGTGAGGCCACAGCCGCGGTTGAGCTGACTGTGGGTCCCCCGCCACCCCCTCAGCTAGCCAACAGCACCAGCTGTGATCCCCCGCGGGACGGGGAGCCTGATGCCCTCACCCCGCCCTCTGCCGCCTCTGCCTCTGCCTCTGCCAAGGCGGCTGAGGCCGGGCCCCCTACTGACCGTGGCGTCCAGGTGACGGAGCATGGCGCCACAGCGGCTCTCGTCCAGTGGCCAGATCAGCGGCCTATCCCGGGCATCCGCATGTACCAGATCCAGTACAACAGCTCAGCCGACGACATCCTCGTTTACAGGTGCAGGTCCAGGCGGCGGGCAGTTCGGGTGGGGGAGCGAGGTGGAGGGAGGGCTGGAGGAACACCTACTGATACCCCAGGCTGCACCACCGGAAGTGAAGCTGCAGGGTTACAAAGGAAATCAGGCAGAGAAGGCAAAAGGAATGTGGCAGCAGTGGTAAAAAGAAAGGAGGCAGCAAAAGTAAACAGTAACAGACAGAAAAAGGAAATCTGGTAGCAAGAATAAAAGGTAATCAGGACTTCCCTGGTGGCCTAGTGGTTAGGATGCTGCGCTTCCACTGCATGGAGCAAGGGTTCGATCCCTGGTTGGGCAGCCGGAGAGGCAAGGTTGAAGGGTTACGAGCAGATTTAAGTAGTAAAGAGAACTAAGTATTTCCAGATGACAGCTAGATTCAAGTCAGGCTGCAGGAAGAAAAAGAGATCAAGCAGGAGGGTCCAGGGATCATGGGGAAAATGGAGTGAGGCAGCCCAGCTGCAAAGGAGCTCAGTGCATGCTCAGTCATTTCAGTCGTGTCTGACTCTTTGCAACCCTGTGGACTGTAGCCCGCCAGGCTCCTCTGTCCAAGAGATTTTCCAGGAAAGAATACTGGAATAGATTACCATGCCCTCCTCCAAGGGATCTTCTTGACCCAGGGATTGAACCCGCATCTCCTGCATTGCAGGTGGACTTTTTACCCACTGAGCTGCCTGGAAAGCCTGCAAAGGAACTCAGACCAGAAGTTAAAAGGAAAATGGGGGAGGAGGTTATATAGAGATTAGGCTTTGGGTTTGTACGATGTGACCTGCTCTATGTGTTTGGAGTTCTAACATGGTGACATCTCAGCTTTTTTTTTTTTTCCAAATCAAATGCAAGCTAGTTCAGGCTCCACCACGGCTAGGTGAACAGGACTGTTCAGTCTGGCATTGCTGGGGACTCCCTACTCCCTTCTCTTGCTGAAAACAAAACCTGGGTTACACACTTCAAGAGTGGATTACCATGACAGTCATCCAGGCAAGATTGGAACATCTGCTGTGGCCACATGTGGTCACTGATGGTGGCTGTAACCCAGGTGCTACTGACATGTCTACCCAAGTCCAGCTTTGCATGGATGGCTGGGGATGACTCCCTGTCCTCTCTGTCAGGCTGGCCCAGGCTTGACACTCGGCTGCGGAAGAGTGGGCCTCTCAAGGTCTGGGGTCCATGCCTTGTAAATCCAGTATCTGGGTTCCCTTTGCCTCCCCACAAGCCAAAACCCTCAAAGATTAGTAATCACTTGATTTCTTTCTCAGTCCTGGAAATCCAACAAGCTTTTCTCCATTCCATTTCAAAGATAGCCATCTTCAGTCGATTCCACAGAGGGCCCACACCTGAAAATCACACAAGTCCCGTCCACCTTGCTGGATGGGGTGGGGAGGATGGGACAAATGCCCTCCTAGATTGTCACCCTACTAGAGATAATCATGGAGTTCCCTCATTAAAGCCGCTGAAGAATAAAACAGGGATTATAAAACAAGTTAAATCTCCCAACAGGGCGCCCTGCTACAAAAGGAAATATAGTGAAATTGGGTACTAAAGATAAAAGGAAATGAGAAAGATAAGGATAAATTGAAACCAGGCCAGAGAGATAAAAGAGAATCAGGAGACAGAACTGGAACGAAATAAGGCAACAGGGAGGAAAAGAACTCAGCAGCGATGACTGAGGCACATCAGTTTAATGAAAACGGAGTCAGATGACAGGGCTCTCTGGCAAGCAGGCTACGGCTACAGCAATAATAATACGGCAGCGGGGCTCGGGGGACCTTCATTGGCAGGTTAGAAGGAAATCGGGCATCAGCACAACAGGGGATTCAGGTGGTTAGATTAGAGAGAATTCTAGCTTTCCACTAGAGGAAAGTCAGGCAGCTGGGAAAGTGCAACCCAGTCCGGGATGGAGGAAAGTCAGAGGAACAGAGGGAAATTAGGTGAAGGCCTAGAGGGAGATGTGGAGGTGGGATTAGAGGGAAATTGGATGGGCAGGGGGATGGTAGAAAGAAATGGGCATCAGGCTAGAGGAATACCAGGCAGCCTCTTCTCTAGCGGTCCCGTGGTTAAGACTTCACCTTCCCAAGCAAGGGGTGCAAGTTAGATCAGTGGTCTGCGAGCTGAGATCCCATATGCCTTGGGGCCAAAAAAACAAAGCAAAGAAACAGTATTGTAACAAATTCAGTATAAAATGGTCCACATAAAAAAAAAAAAAAAGAACAAAGCTGGGCACTGAGTTGGAGAGATGTCTGGCTGGAGGGAACTCAGTGGTGGGCTGACAGGAGATGGGGTGATAGACTTGGGGGACTCAGGCAATGAGCTAGGGGAGAGGCGGGTGGGGGAACCAGAGTGAAGTCAGGCGGGGGAGTGGAACAAAACTGGGCAGTAAGGCTAAAGGGAACTTGGGCTGCAGGCTCGGGGAAAATGCTGGAAGGGTGGCAGTGCAGGAGGGGAGCCAGGCAACGGGATATAAAATGAAACCACACTTGGGAGGCCGTGGGGCTCACGGCAAACTGGGCAGCAGGGGGTGGGGAAGCGGGCACCGGTGAGAATATAGGCACTGAGGCCAGAGGGAGATCAAAGGGACATTTGAGCAGCAGGAAAAGGAGAAGGGGGACTGGGGTAAAGCTGGCTAACAGAATGGTGGCTGAAGGGTATCAAACCAAAGGGAATTCAGGCAGTGGTTACAGGGACCTCAGGGCCTAGGGTGAAACGAGGCAGTGGCCTCGGGTGGGGGGTGAAGGGGATCTTCCAGACTGGAGGGTTGGGGCAGGGTGCAGGGTGGGTGCTGGGCAGCCAGCGACCTGACCCCCACCCGCCTGTCCCTCCAGGATGATCCCGGCCGAGAGCAGCTCCTTCCTGTTAACGGACCTGGCGTCAGGCCGCACCTACGATCTGTGCGTGCTGGCCGTGTACGAGGACGGCGCCACGGGGCTGACCGCCACACGGCCGGTGGGCTGCAACCGCTTCTCCACCGAGCCGGCGCTGCGGCCCTGCGGGGCCCCGCACGCGCCCTTCCTGGGCGGCACCATGATCATCGCGCTGGGGGGTGTCATCGTGGCCTCCGTGCTGGTCTTCATCTTCGTGCTGCTCATGCGCTACAAGGTGCACGGCGGCCAGCCCCCCGGCAAGACCAAGGCTTCCGCGCCTGTCAGCAGCGTGTGCTCCCAAACCAATGGCGCCCTGGGCCCCACGCCGGCCCCGCCGGCCCCTGAGCCCACCGCACCCAGGGCCCACACCGTGGTCCAGCTGGACTGTGAGCCCTGGGGGCCCAGCCACGAACCCACGGGACCCTAGCCTGGCGCCCACCTCTACGGCCCAGAAGGGCGCCCCCTGCCGGGGTGGCAGGACCCAGACACCCCGTGGGACCTGGCCTCGGACTCACCAAATTGCTCACGGTTTTTAAAACTCTGACGGGGAGGGTGTCGGGGGCACCGGGGCACAACAAGAAAGTCCTATTTTTCTAAGCTTGGGCCTGGGCCCTTGCCCGTGTCTCTGTCTGTTGGGGGTGGGGGTTCGTTCAGGGGTCCGGAGTGGGATGCCTCCACTGGGGAGAGAACCCTGCCCCACCCCCGGCCCTTTCTGAGGTCCCCGGATGAGCTTGAGGACGGCCGTCCCTTCACCCTGCAGACATTCCCTGCGTGTCCCCTCTGGGCCTGCCCTATACTGGCTGACGCCGTGGAGACCCAGGCGGCCCCCAGCCCTGCCCCTCAGACACTGATAGCTCAGGGCAATGAGAGACTTGGTGAGGAGGGAAGCCTAGGAGATGGCAGGAGCCCCCCAAAAGGTGTGGTCACAGCCTAGGGTGTGGTCAGGGAGGGCCTCATGAAGGAGACGTGAGCTGAGAATGACATCTGAAGGAGATAATGGGGCAAAGAGCAGAAGGAAAGGTATTCTGGGCTTAGGACCAACACAAGCAAGGGCTTAGGACATGCAGGGCACTGGGGGCGCTGCGGTAGAAGTGAGGCAGGAGGCGTGGGCAGGGTTCAGGACCCCCAGGCTGAGGAGCTCAGACTCTGGCCCGATAGTTTTGGGGAGTCACGGAGGAGTCTATGCAAGGGAGGGAGAGGGTCAGGTTTGGGTTTTAGGAAGATCTTTCTAGCTGTCAGGACGGTGGATCAGAGACAAAGACTGTGGCTGGGAGCCTGCGGAAAACCAAGGCAGGAACCTGGGTGGGTGAGGACAAGGCTGGACCAGGGGCAGGCGTGGGGGAAAGCAACAGAGGGTGGGTGAGAACAATAGGAAGCTGAGTGGATCCGTTTTGGAGCTGAAGGGCTGTGGGGGAGGGAAGTGTCCAGGGGAAGGCCCAGGGCTCTGACCGGGGGAGGGACAGTGGATCTGCCCTGATACAGGACCAGGGAGGAAGGGCAGGTTTGAGGACGATCCTGAGGCCAGTGTGGGACTTGGTGGACATGGAAGGCAGCTATGCTCACCGTTGTCCCACCAATGCCACTGGGACTTGTTGAATATAGGGGTGGGGGCCCAGAGGGTGGGCATGCCATCAAGGGTTGGCAGCCAGGAGACCACTAGACCCCTAGTCTAAGACCAGAGCTGAGGACAGAAATGGGGGCTCTGTCAGCGGGGATGGGTCATCAGATTCAGGTCATCAGACTCTCCATATTTAAGGGACAGGAAAATAAATACCTGGGCTGAAAAACAAAGACTGAACAGCAATAGGTGGAGGGACGGAGTGAAGCAAACCAGGCAAATCAGAGCCAAGGACTCTTGTGTTTAATGATCTCAAGGCTGTGGTGACCTCAGCGAGAGCTGTGTAGGGGATTGGCTGGGCAGCTGCCAAAGCCAGCTGATTTGACAGTAGGAGGTAAGAAACTATAGACAGGGAGTATAGACCCTGTGGTTCTGTGGGCCTTGAGCCTAGTTCAGGTTGATTGGGGCCTTTCTGCCCCTGTGTCTCTCCAGGGTTTGTCCTCGTTCAGTCTAGATCTGCCCTAGGCCTCCCCTTGGATACCAGGCCTGGAGGTTTGCACGATCAAACCCTGGGTCTTGGAAGTGTCACTGGAGGCCCAGGAATGGATCAGCAGTAGGAGGACCAGCACTTCCTGACCTCAGACCACCGCTGGTACCACCTCCAGAGGCAAGATATGGAGGGAACTCGGGTCTTGTCTTTCTTCCCTGCTGTGTGAGGGGTTTGATGAAGAGCCCAAGACTGGATTGGCCATGCTCATGATCTGGTGCACATGACTTGTCCTCGTGGAATAACATCCTAGATCATGGCACACCTTTCTTGGTTGGGTGTAGGCCTTGGAAATGATCCTCCATTGACCAAGGGAACAGCCTGAGTCCCAAGGACCTGACCTGATCCCCCAAGTCCTCCAGCAGCATCACAAGGTCCTTCTTCTTCTTGTTTGTTACCCTCAGTGGCTGAGGTCAGGTGAAGCCATCAGGGAGAGTGAGGTGTTTTGGGGAAAGGGACCTAGAGAATGGGAGAATGGGATGGATACCTAGTGCCTGCATCAAAATACCACTTGCTGCCATAAGGGGGAGCCAGAGCGTGCCATCCTGCAACCTTCCTTCTAAAATTTGAACAATTAATGCCTGTAGTACTAGAGCATTAATTAATGCAAAGTACTAGGGCTTCCCTTGTGGCTCAGTGGTAAAGAATCCCCCTGCCAATGCAGCAGACACAGGTTCAATACTTAGGTCCAGAAGATCCCCTAGAGGAAGAAATGACAACCCATTCCAATAGTCTTGCCTGGAGAACCCCATGGACAGAGGAGCACTCTGGGGCTACAGTCCATGGGGTCACAAAGTGTCCAGCATGACTCAGCAACTAAACAACAGCAACAAAAAGGGATTTGATACTGAACAAACATAGGCCCGTCCTGCCCTCCCATGTCTCACCATTTGGTGAGGGAAACAAGCGTCATATAAGCAAGTGGAGAGCATGTATGGTGACAAGGTGGGTCACGCAGGAGAGACCCTTGGAACTATGAGACCCTATAACCAGGGCGCTTGACCCAGGAAGAGAGTTTAGGGAGTCTTCCTGGAGGAAGTAACACCTGCTGAGATGCTCAAGCTAACTACTCAGTGGGTGGAAAGGATATTTCATACAGATGAAACAGCACTGCCGGAGGCTGCAGGGCTGGCGTGGGTTGGAGGGGAGGGAAAAAAGAGTGATCCTGTGTTTAGGTTGGAGAACTGAAAGGGGGCAGATGATGAAGGACCCTGTGGGCAACTGGGAGGATCCCAGATTTTATTCTCAGTGGCATGAGAAGTCATTGGAGGGTTTTGACCCATAAGGAGAAGAGTCCTCCCTGATGTCTAGGAAGCTCCAGTGGGGGTTCTGTTTACATGTTCATGACAAAGGTGACTCAGGGAGACCAAGGAGGAGGCTACCGCGATGGTGCAGGCAGAAAAAGTAGCCAGAGAAGGTTGGGAGCTGAAGTGAGAGGATTGAGAGATCTGAAATACTTTACCCAAGGCCTCCATTCCCCTACACAGAAGGGGACAGTGGGGATCACTGTCCAGCTGCCCCGTTCTCAGGCAAGATTGCAGAGACTGGGGAAGAAGAGTTGTGGGGCCTCAGTCTCTGATACCTGGGATCCATCCCTTAGATGAGGAAGGTGACTTCTCTATAGTACAGGAATTAAGGACCTCTTCCAGGTTCAAGTGCTAAGACTGAGGCTGTGGCCTGTGGGGCAGGGGAGAGGGGGATGTGAACCCAGGAAATTCAGTCCCAGAGACACACACATACCCACACAGGCAGAAGTAGTGAGGTGGGAGGAGGCACACGGGGGCAGGCTGGTTCCTCTAGCATGGTCCCCTTCTGCCTCCCCAAAAAGATACATGGACCATCCCCCAACCCCATGCAGAAACAATCCAACTCTAGGCAAATGATCATGTGTCTCTGTAGCTGAAAGTTAAAATGCAGCTTGTCCAACATTGCCTAACTGGGTCCACCAGTTTTCTGAGCTCAGGGAGTGCAACTCTTTCCACTCTCCATCCCCCATCTGGCTTGGAGGATCCCCTGCCCATTTCTGAGACCAGCTTTCCTGGCACCAAAGCTCCAGGCTTCTGGAGGATTTTCTTGAAGACACTGTAGTTCTGATACCAGGACTCTGTCCCCTGTCTGCCTCCTGCCAGATCCTGAGTGTGGCTAACCCATGGTTCCTGAGTGTCTGGACATAAGTGTGATTAAATGAGAGGCTTCAGCTAATGCCAAGACTTCACAACGCTACCTGGACGTGCATGTGGGAGAATCCGCTGAAGGGTCCTCCGAAAGCGGATGTTTCTTTGCTAGACTGAACTTGGGCATGGTTCCTTCCTGATCACACCTCACAAAAGCAAGGATAGGTATCAATTCTCAGCGTTGCTCTGACCTGTGCAGAATGATAGGGGCCTCCCTGGTGGCTCAGATGGTAAAGAATCTGCCTGCAGTGCAACAGACCCAGGCTCAATCCCTGGGTCAGGAAGATTTCCCCTGGAGAAGGGAATGGCTACCCACTCCAGTATTCTTGCCTGGAAAATTCTGTGGACAGAAGAGCCTGGCAGGCTATGGTCCATGGGGTGGCAAAGAGTCAGACATGACTGGGCAACTAACACTTTCACTTTTTCATGCACAGTGATACCGGGAACAGAGTGGTAACCAACAGCCCTAGACCCTTCCCTCATAGAGTTCAAGTCTGGTGGAACAAATAAATACTCACCAAACAATGGCAGCCCAGAGTGGTCAAGGCTGGGATGGGAGAAGCACAGGCAAGAATGATTAGGGCCTGTTTAAGCTGAGGGGACTCTGGGAGCCCAGAAGGGGATCCTAACTGAGTCTGGGATGGGAGGTGGGGAGATTCCAAGATTCCCCGAAGGCAGGGCCAGCTTCATGGCAGTGTGATCTGCGTGGATGCCCAGCGCCCCTTGTTTAAAAGGACCCCATGCTGACTGATGCCCCACTGTCACCATCGTGAAATTCTTAATGATTTTTGAACAGAGGACTCCACAT